TCGGACCACACACACACACACACACACACACACACACACACACACACACACACACCTGCCCGTTCACGCCGTTTCCTCTGGGTTTCTGTAGGCTGTGACCACAAGCCTGAATTCCTTTCTGCTGCAGCTGAAAGCCGGCCAGTACAATTGTCAAAGCAGCTAAACAGGCCACAGGACTTCACCTGGTAGAAGGAAGAATGTCTCTGGCGCTACACTAATCTGGGGCGGAGGAAGGCATGGAGGGAAGGAGAGGGGAGAAGGGAGAGGGACAGGGGGACAGAGTTAAGGCAAAACAATATTGGGGAGTAGGGATTTTTTCTTGTATATTGCTCGAACAAAATAGTGGAGGAAAAGCTACTGGGGGGAGAGAAGTCTACATCTGCATGTGAGTCGATAAACACTTCCCTAAGCTCATTTGCTGTGCTGCAGATACAAGGAAGACAAGACGATCTGGGGAGGGAAGAAGGGAAGGTAGGTGGATATCCTCACAGAAACTGTATTGTCAGGGCCTTAGCCTAAGTTAAGATTGTGCTCCAGGCAGGAGAAAGCACCCCGCCAGTCCTTCCAGCAGAGAAGTAGCTCCCGCCTCAGCCGGCTGGGTTTTCTCTCCTCGCTGGGGCCCTCCACTCAGAGGCAATGAGCATTCAGTCACTGTGCAGAACTAACTCCCTCTGATCCCTGCAACAGGCACAAGTCTTCTATCCTGCAAGACTGAATCAGAATGAGTCACTTGAAGCTCCCGGAACAAAGTACTTGCAGCTGCCTCTCAAGACACTGCCTCCATGTAGGTGGGACACACCTCTCAGGGCAGTCACATTTTTTTTCCTCCTTCCTTCAAACAGGCAGGGAATTCTGATGCTCCCAAAAGACTGGCTCTACCCGCTCAGCTCTCAGCTGCCCCTACAATGTGAATCCTGCTTCTCCAGCTCAGGACTCGAGTTTTAAAATAAAATGGATGATTTGACGTTACTTGATCTCCTGGAGTGCCCTGTGTGCTTTGAAAAGCTCGATGTCACAGCCAAAGTCCTGCCCTGCCAGCACACCTTCTGCAAACCATGTCTACAGAGGATTTTCAAGGCCCACAAGGAGCTGAGGTGCCCGGAATGCAGGACCCTGGTGTTCTGCAGCATCGAGGCTCTGCCCGCCAACCTGTTGCTGGTTCGTCTGCTGGATGGTGTGCGCTCGGGACAGAACTCCTGGAAAGGGGGCTCCTTTCGCAGGCCTCGAATACTGACCTTGCAAGACCACAGGAAAACCAAGACCAGCCCCAGAAGTCTACAGGCCAGCCCTTTCCGGCTGGTGCCCAGTGTCAGGATCCACATGGATGGGGTAAGAGAAAAGTTGCTTGCTATTACCATGTGCAATTTGGAAGTTGGTTATGTGTATTCTGAGAGCTGGGGAACAGACTTCCTTCATGTAGACAGACTTCCAGCAGAGTGCAAGAGATGATTCCCCAGAAATCAGTTTACTGAGACACAATGGGAGCTCCGAGCCTATCTAATCCATCCGACAGTTCATCTCAGAACTTCTAACACTTGCTGGATTCTCTTTAGTTTTTGTCCGGAGGGAGTTTAAGTGCTTGTAGATAATAATAATCCTTTTCTGGTCTTTCACATCTGTGGCTAAGGAACCAAACCAGTGTATGGGAAATGCCCTGGGGGGTGAGGAATAAAGAAAATAAATTCAACTACAGGTTGCTTTTGAGATTTCGGAGAGGTTTCCCTACATCAGGTGTTGATTGAATTTTACCAAAGTCTGTCTTCCCATCCTTTGCATAAAGTGCCATTGCGATGATGATCATTCATAATCTGTTCGAAGCTATAAGAGATACTTGACACCCAAAATCACGCAAGAGGGAATTGTCTCTGTGAGTGGACTGATGGATGGTAAAGGCTACGATACATAGTAGAATAGATGTGTATAGGAACATTGCCAATGTGTCTCTACAAAGTGAAGAGAACACACAAAATGCCTCCTGGGCAAGGGCTACAGTACAGACCCAGTCAAATGCGCATGTACTTTTGGATTACTGATTAAAGTTCCCCATGTTCCTCTGTCTATCCCTGATAGCACACCCCGAGGACTTGATCTGGGCTGCTGTGTAGGAGCACACCTCAGGAGGAGGGCGAAGTCTTGTGAGTCCAGAGGGGTTGTTTGCATTGTCATCCCTGGACTCCCAGGACCAGAATGGACACAAAGCTATGGCTTAGATTGTTGGCATACGTAGGCAATCAAAGACTCATTCTTTGAAGTCCTGCCTAAAGCAAGCTTTAATGCTGGCAGCAGGGTCCCAAACCTGCTCTGAAGAGTGGCAGTGGGTGGGAGCGTTTGGCACTGGGCTCCCTCCTCACACGGAAAGCCTTGCAGTGTGCATTCACATCTGTTTCCTAAGGTTTTCTTCAGAGGGTTCAGTCTCTTGGAGTTCACTGCACCTTTAAGCCACCCATGTGGTAGAGTTGTGTGCGAATATTCAAAAAACGAGAGCGGGAAGTTGGCGTGGTTTCTTCCCAGAAGGTTTTTTTTTTTATTATTGCTGTTGTGCTTTCTGTAGGGGAACACATTCCAGAAAAGGGATGGGTGCTCACTCCTCTGTAGGTCTCCTCAATCAATCAGAATCCACAGGCCTGCAAAGGTAGAATAGGGAGGAGAACAAACTTTATTCAAATCTGACTCATTAAGAGAAAAGATGCCTGTCCCTGGGTTGGCAAATCCCCCTTAAATTCCCAACACCTAGAAAACTCTTCTCTCCCCTTCCCTATAAAAGTCTGTCTTGCCTTTCAGGAGGGGGTCATCATTCACTAAGGAAATGTTGCCTGGAAGAAGGCGGGACCCCTCTCAGCAGCTTTGCCTACCTTCTGTCCAGGTGTTCATCTTCCCCATGTTGCTAAGGAAAGTGCATGCACAGTTGCCAGGGGGTACAAGATTCACAGAGTGCTTCTCTGCAAGGGGGATCGAGGGCAGAAAATAGGAAGACGTCAGGAGAGTGGGTGTCCTTGAATCTCTTCGTGGGGACTTGGAACGTGGGGCGAAGGAGACAGTGATGGCTCTGTGCCTGGTCCCCAAGCTGCCCTGGACCTAGGCCTGTCATCAGGGCTAAAGCACAGACTCAGTCCTTGAGGGCTCATGCTTTCAGAGAGAAGCCAAGTTAATAAATGTGTTTTCCAAAGAGAGGAGCTGGCAGCCCACCACTATCATCCCGTTCATTCATTTCTTTCTTTGAAGAGTTCATCTCATGCCTCTTGTCTCTTGATGGGGATATGAGCAAGCCCATTCCTGGATGTTAATACAGTGTCATTCTACAACTTGTTTCTGCTTGTAAAAATATAACTAGCTTTCCTGTAAGTATGAAACCAGCATGCCTTCCAGTTAAGGCATGGATGGTGCACTCTGAGAGTGGACTTGCAATATCAGTCAAATCCCCTGGAGTTATTTGCCCTTTCTGCCTCAGTTTATCCAACTGAGCCAACATTCAATAATATTTGCTCCCCTCATCCCTTCTCTAAGACACTGTGAAATTATCTTTGCAACATGCTGTATCACCATGGAAAACATCTGCCAGGGAAATGCAAAGCACCATCATTATCATTAATTTAAACGCACAGTATGACTTTGGGCAAGCCACTTAAGCTGGCTGGGTCTCAATTTAAAATTCTGTAAAATGGGAAAATGTATTATAAAATCCTAGAGCCACCTTGACACCTAACTAATTAATGTTTGCAAAGCACTCTGAGAGCCTTAGATGAAAGGCATTGGAAGATTGTTATCATAGTAAGTATCACTATTGGCTGTTTATTGTGCCCTGCCATACATGAGGCATTCTGCAAAACACAGGAGTTATAGCCCTTGCAGGAAAGCGGAACAGGCATTGTTATTAAACATGAGTCTATGGTGAACCCAGACCGGAGTAATACTAACTCTAAGTACTCCCCTGAGCAGGGAAAATAATCTGTTGTTGTAGGGTACCATTTTGTAAAACACATCTTTCATAGGCCTCCTTCCCAGCCTGGCACGCTGAAGGAGTTCATTTTACTTCCTACCCACAAGCTTTTTAAGCCCCAAGTCTGTTCTGCTCGCCCAGGCTCATCCACCAAACAAGCTCATCAAGATCTCCTTGTTGGCACAAAGAGGCCTGATGCCTGTTGTGCCAGCAAGTATGTTAGGGTGGAACCAATAGTCACACCTCATGCTGCCAGCCCAAGAGAGAGAAAAATTAGCCCATTGTGCCTACACATCTAAATCCCTCCCAAGCTGATTGTGTAAAAAGAAAACGTGAGAAGCGGCTGCAGGCTTTTACAGCATGCAATTATTCCACGCAGATGGGGAGCTCTGGTGGGCTCCTTATGGAAAACAAAAATCCCTCTGGTTCTTAGTCCAGTGCAGCCAAGCCAAAGGAATTGGACAAGCCTTCAAAAGGATTGTGAGTTGCCAAAGAGTTTATCTCTTTTCCTCTTCATTCTGTTTAACAAAATTTCTGAATGAAGACAGGTAATAGAGGTTTTGAGAAATTAAGAATCCAAACCCTGAGTCTGCTCCTTCAATGGCTGTGTACTTTGACTGAGTCACTAAAACCTCGGGGCCTTCAATTCCCCATCAGCAAATGGAAGATAATAGTAGTACCTACCTCAGAGGGCTGTTGTGAGATATAAATGCAATGATTCATATCCATTAACTCTTAGTGCATTGACTGGCTTGCGTTGAATGCTCAATAAATATTAGCTGTGATTGTTGTTGAAGTGACTCAACACTTTCTACTCAAAATTACATGCCCTCTCTCACCCCCTTGTGAATTAGGTGCCACCCCAAAATGGTTCTTGGTGCCCTGATTATCTGGCTTGTATTGTTTTCTTCCAAATGATCTATGGCCCATAATTCAGGTATGTGACTTCCCAGCTTGTGCTGGCTTTGAAGCTCCATTCCAGAATAGTTAAAAAAAAAAAAAAAAAAAACTGATTAAGTGTTTAAAACCATGCACAGAAAGCAAGTATCTGGTTATAACCTCCCAAGTAACACTGGTTCTTTATTAGCTTGGCATTTTCTCTTTTCTCTGCCACTCTCTCTTCCCCATCAAAACTGTCACCACCCTGGGTCTCTCAGGGCTGGACTTTCTCCCTGCATTGTTAAGCATGGTGGCAATCACACCCCATATCAGCAAGAACACACCTGCTGTCACCACACAGAGACCAGGTGGCTTTGTCATAGAAACTTATTCAGCTGCTGTTGCAAGCAACTGAGGAGCAAAAATGAGGTCAAAAAGCACCTAAGGGAGCTGAGGTCAGGCAGAAACCACAAGGTGGTGGAGCCCCTTTCTTGGGTCTCAGAAGTGTTCTAAGCGGCAATACAGATGGTGGGTTTTGCTGAATGTGCAAAGAGATTAAATCATTCCAGTCCCTAAAAGCAGCAGGCAGGTGACACCTGGGACGACCATATGTAGCAGGTAGAAAAATTCAGGTAGGTAGAGGCTGCCGCTGAGAAATCAGGAGACACGGGCCAGTCTCCGGCTCTACTCATATTTATTTTCGAAGAACTTCGGGAAAACATAGGGTCCCGAATGTCACTGCTGTCATGCCCCCTCAACACACCAATTCCTAGTTATAACCCACTCTCCCTTTCTTTGCCAACTGTGTTCAAGGATTGCTGCTCAAATGGAGCTGCCTTTGTGCTGGGGTTTAGTATTGGTCAGCCGTGAAGCCTTTGGCAGGTCACGTCACATCTGTCATCAGTTTCTGTACTGTAAAAGGGAGATAATAACGGCGTGCATACAGCGTAAGGTCATGATGAAGTTAAAATGTGATGATGCACATTGGGAGCTTAGCACAAGTGCCTGGTACCCAACAGGTGCTAAGCCATGTTAGCCACAGTCAATCATAAAGCGCCGCCATAGCAAAGTCTGCTGACAACAAGGCGCTCTAAAACAAGGGGGCAAAGCTTATGTGAGCTCACAGAGACTGGAGCAGAGAGCACAGGGTCTCCATGGGCTGCACCAGGTTCCTCTGCAGATATACTAGAGCTTTCAGCTTAGTACTTTTTCGGGACTCCTGAATGTGTAAACAAGTGGGTCTCTGATTCTTGTGCCTTCTCTTGGGGCTCTTTTATTCTTCTGTTGGCTTGGCTTGGCTTGTCTAACTTCGATACGATGGCTTTCATTTTATCTTATTTTTTTGTTGTTGTTGTTGTTGTTATCATGTTTTGTTGTTATCTCCCAGAAACCTGTTCTTTTCTAATGAGAGACAGAAAGGGAGTAGATCCAGATGAGAGAGGAGATGAGGAGCAACTGGGAGGAGTAGAGGGAGGGGAAACTCCATTCAGATAAAAAAAGAAAAATTAAAAAT